GCAGGGGAGAAAAAAAATCCTTGGGAAAAATAAAAAAAAAAAAAAAAGCACACACTGCACGCAGCCTGGTGTACAGAAGACAAACTCCGTGGACAGATCTCATTCCTCCAAGTGCACACCACATCCCAGTTCCCAGCTGTGCCAACTGCACAGATGGAGGCACAAGTACCCACAGAGTGGTGGTGCTGAGATGTCCAGTCTCTGGAAGGCCTCTCTCAAAGAGGCCCACAGGCTTGAGCCAACCCTGCCACTCCTCAACCTCATCACCCAGCTACAAGGTGACACATCCCACTGCTGAATTTCACCCACCAATCATCTCTACAACACTGTCAGGTCAGAAAGAAAGCAGCTTTCTGCACTGTTGCTGTGGAAGCAAGGAGAAGCAGTAGCAATAGGAGGCTCATGAACACTAACCTAAGGGTAAAGACATTCCTGGCTCAAGATGCTTTTATGCACTTCTTGGGCTCTGAATGCTTTTTGCAGAAGGGAGTTCTGCAGACCAACAGTAAAGCCAGTTGATAATCTACATTCCAGTCCCAGACTGAACTCTGCTGCTTAAAGGCATCACCACTGTTCAACTGCATCAACAGCTTTTCATCCTCCTGACAGAATATCAGACCTCTGACAGGCCTCAAGCTGTGGATGACTCACCAATCTTTTGACAGTAGAAATCTGGGTGACTTAAGTTTGGATGCCTCAAACAGATTCCACTCAAGCACAGATCCATGCTCACAGCACTGGAGCAGAGGAAAGCAGCTCCAGGTCCTTCACTGACACCTTGTGTCAGAAGCAGGAACTGGATACAACAGTGACCGCCAGGCAGGTTCCAAACGCTCCCAGCTCATGCGTACTGCACAGGGCCTCAGCTGAGAAACAACCAGAGCACCAGGACTTTTGGAGCTGAAAGAAGGGATTGAACGTGTTATTTCTAAAGGGTTTAAGAGAAAGCTTAAATCAAAACAGTTCTCACACACCCCCTCAATCCTGGACATGTTTTTCTGCACTTCTTAAGGCCAGCTCAAGAGCCTGCCTCACCACAGACAGCCCATTTGGCTCTCTGATTGAACAAGGGAGAGCTTATGTCAGGTTACCTTGTGATCAGACAAACTGAGGCAACAGGGGATCACGCAGAAAAGCATGATTTCCTCCCTTCCAGCAGCAATAAACTGCCAGCCTAAGTTCTGAAGCAGACAAATCAATCCCTTTACGCTTCCAGACTGATCTGGACACACCAGAGGGAACAGCATTTCAGACCTGGAAGCACAATGTCCTCCAAGCAGCCAGATAACCAATTCCCAGGGCCAGACCCAGAACAGCCTTGGTCCTTCAGGCTTTCTCTATGGCCAAGGCAATCACTTGCTCCAGGGTTGGAACTAACTGCAGAGTCAGACACATGAGAGGCAGCAATGAAGGCAAACAGAGAGGAGTGAAGAATGTATCAGTAATTTTTGCCCCAATACTTATTTTGGCTGCTAACACATCAGCCACCGCCTGAATTTAGTGCAGATGAGCATCTGGGAGAGAAAGAAACACATTAAAAGTCTGTGGAGCGCAGAAAGCAAGTACTGAAATGGGAAAATCAGCACTAAAAGGACAGAGGAAAGAAATTGACCAGAGACCTATGTAAGTAATAAAAAGCAATGCTCCTTTGAACAAAAATCCCTCTCCAGAAGCACGCTAAGGAGAGGCACGGTGAGCCAAGTGAAGGAGGAACAAGACTGGCAGTGAATTTGGAAGAACCTTTAGGTTGTGAATGAAGCATGACCAAGAGCACAGCAGCAGCCGCCACCAGAGAGCTGCTGGGGACAGAACAGCAACAATACCATAACATAGAGGAACTTCAACATGACTCATTCCAAATGCAGCCAACACCACTCTAAGGGAGAACTAGGCTTAAGCAGCTTGGTTCAGAAACCAAGAAATGGAGAGAAAAGAGAAGCTCCAAGTGCAGAAAGACTCCAAAGAGGAAGTTATCTGCAGGAAAGGTGAAAAAGTCACAGTTCAGGACATGCTGAGACTTGTGACTACGAAGAAAGCAGAAGTCACCCACAGCTCCCCTTCAGTCCCTGGGCTCCACAGCAGGAATAACAGTGACTGCTGCAAGCAAAGAGCTGCAAAAAAAGAAAACCGAAAAGGAGCTTCTGTCCTAAGTAAAAATATACTGGCAATTTTTAAGGCAGAGACTGGAGCACAACACAGCACTCTGTTCCCATTCTATTGTTATCTAGAGCAGCTCCATGTAACTTGCATCCAGGGTTCAGCTGGCCAGGGATTCAATGTCAATTAACCACTCAGTAATGACTGTCTAGATAAAACTGATGCTTAACTAATTTTTTTAGAAGAAAGAATGATCCAAAAATTATAGTTCCACGGATCAAAACAACATCTCTGGATACATGTGTTTCTAGTTTATTTCAAGATAGGCCTGGTTTTAATCTTTGTGATTTGTGATGCAGGTTCTGTACACCAAAGAGTGAAAACTGCTAAGCAGGTCACTGATCACAGGAACACCAGCTAATGAAGATGATGAGCTGACCACAGGTGATCACTGAACTGCAGAACAGTTTGAGTAGGAAGGGACCTTCAAAGGCCACGTAGTACAACTGCCTGCAATGAGCAAAGATATCTTCAACTAGACCAGGCTGTTTAGATCTCCATTCAAACTGGCCTTGAATGTTTTCAAGGATGGGGCATCCACCACTTCTCTGGACAATCTGCACCAGTGTTTAAAAGATGATGGCTGGAAATCAGAATTAGCCTCGAAAGAAATCTCAAGATCACAGGCAACAGGTAATGCACTGGTGAATTTACTCAGATGTACACTCAGATGGATTTTTTTCCACTAGTAATCCCTCAATAACAGCAGGTACTTTCCTAGGTGACCTGATCTTCTTTAAAACTAATCATGGATATCAGGATCTTAGATCATACCAATAACCTTATTCCAGGCCTTAAAAAGGCTTCCTGCCCTTTAGGGAGTGAAGGCACAAACACGTCTCACCAGCAATGCCTGTCAAAACCCATGAGGCTCCCAAAATCCGCAGGGCACAAAGCACAGCTACACAGCCACCTCAAGAAAGCAGTGGGAGCCCAAGTTCCCCTACACCGCTGTATCAGCTGCTGCAATCGCACGGCCGGGGTGACCGGGAAACTGAGTCAGCTGAGCGGGGTGGGGGGGACAGGACGGGACACCGACTGTGTCCTCAGCCATGGGGTGAAGATGGAACAACGCCTCATAAACGCCGCTATCGGCTCTTTTCCCCACTGCCAGGCAGCCCCTCGCCTCCCCACAGCCCCCCACCACCTCCCCTCAGCCCACAGCCCGGACATTCCCCTCAGGATGGCGGGGAGGGGGGGGCTGTTCCCGCTTGTCTCAGGCCTCCACCGCTACTCACCCTCCAGGCTCTCGCACTGCACCAAATTCACGTAGTCGCCTTGCCGGAGTACCCCCGCCTTAAAGCCGCGCACCAGCCCTTCCAGGTACCCGTTATCCACGTTAAAATAGAGCTCCGGGAAACACGACATGGCGGCAGCGACGAGACGGCAGCGCTACCGCCCGCCGCCTCACGTGACTCGCGGCGGGTCACGTGGCCGCGGCCCCTTCCCGGCAGCCATTGCGAGGCGGGAACGGCCTGAGGCGATGGCGGCCGCCATAGCGCCCTGCGCCGAGCGTGAGGCTCCCCTTCACTACACCCGAGTCACCATGAGCGATACAGGCAGAAGGATACACAAGTAAAGTTCGCAGTGTCGCCTATTGCCGAGACACCACTTCTACTAGTCAGGAAATAAAGTTAAAGGGCTTTACCAGGGGCTGCTCTGTAAAAAAATAAAATAATTTTGTTAGATGCAGAGGTGTTGAAAAATGTGAGATATGTCAAGGTTATGTTAAGGCAGGATGTTCTTTGATGTAAGACCTCTGTATACTTTCAAGCCTAATCAGGAAGAAAGGAGACTTAATCAGTGGAACAGGCAGCAGCCAGCATCCCTCACTCAGGAATATAACAAGCTTTAAGGATGTAGTAAGTCAAGATGTTGATAAATGTCTATACGTTATCAACGTGGTGAAATTCTCACGGTCCATGTATCCTAAAGCTGAACTATCTTCATTAACACTAAAACACTAAAAATCATGCCTTCTGGTCAAAAAGACCCTGCCCAGGTGAAGATGCTTCCCCTGAGCATGATTAGAAGTTAGCTGGGGTTACGTGATTTCTATGGAAATTACTAACCAATCTTAATAGAGAAAATTACTTCATAAAGGAAATTACTAACCCTGAACGTCTGTTTGTAAATAATGGCAGGGAAAGTCCGGTGGGGTGTGCTGGATTTGTGGAATAGCACCGAGCACCCAGGCTGGTGCTCTGAAATAAACAATCCGTGTTTCTCTGGAGTGTGTCGGTATCGGTTCAGTGCACACCAACAAACAAACCCAATCTTGTGGGTAACAGCAGAATAGCCAGAACATCACCTGGGATACCCCTGCTGTTGAAACACCACTTTATGTAGTCAGGAAAGGCACATCTGATTTGATGTGGATGTGTTCTGGAGTGTTGGCTGTGTGGACACTGTGCCCAGCTGTGCAAAGGCCACCCTCACCTTGCTGCCACCCTCTCTCCCCTGAGAGCCCGAGCAGACACATCACACCATTCCCACACTGCAGTGGCTTTTGCAAAGGGCTGATTTATTGGAGCTACAGAGAAGGAGGCACACACAGGGGCGAGGAGCTGGCAGCCCCACAGGCGCTAGTTCTTGCCGCAGGGGAAGTTGGTGCTGATTTTCCTGCAGTAACAAAAGGCGTTGAAGAAGCGGCAGTAGCAGGTGGCACAGGGGTCACAGCAGGGGATCTGGTGGCCGAGGCACGACTCCAGGAGACGGACGCAGCGGCGGGGGGAGCGCTCCTCACGGCCCTCAGCTTGCAGGTCTGTGGATGATACCTGCAGGGGAGAGAGGAGGAAGAGGAGGGGAAGAGCTGGTCCTGGACCACTGTGCCAGCAGTAAAGAACTGCATGGGAGAGAGCCAAGAGTGGCTGCTGAAACCTGGTGCTGCCAGTAGCAGTGGCTTCTGTCGTGTTCAACTCCAGGCTCTGTTTTCTGTCGGAAATCACTGCTGAGCCCTGTGGACTTTCTGTAGGCATTGCTGCCTCATCCACAGTGTCTCAAGACCTTTCTGCAGACGTTTATTTTGAAGCACAACCTGGATTTTAGCAAATGGTGCTGTGCCTTCTGCCCAAACAGAGGCACCAGGGGCTGAGCCAGGCAACACAGGGCACTGCCCAGCAAGCTCCTGGGCTGCACTTGAGGTTAATTAAATGGATTACAGAAACACAGGCTTGGACCACTCTCCTTTGAGTGCTGGAGCCCCTTGCAGGTCTGGGTAGCCTTAGCTGATCCCAACTCCTCAGATGATGGACAGATAGCCCCATCCCAGGAAGCACCATGCTGGGCTCCAAACCCACCCAGCCTCAGGGACACAGAAAAGGCTGCTGTGGCCTCAGGCCACCTCACTCCTTAGGGTTGTCTGTAAGAAAGCTCAGGGAGCCATACCTGTGGTTCCAGCAGGCTGCCTCTCTGCACAAGGTCACCATCAGCTTCTTGGACTCCCAGGGCCATCTGCTCAAGCCCCAGCCTTGGGAGAGCTCCTGTGAGATACAGAGAGGCTGGACAAGGAGGCTGCTGGAGGGTCAGCTCTGATTCTTCTCCCTTTGCTCATGTGTGTCCCACAAAAAAAAAGACCCCACTCCCTGTGAGCTGCTCTCACCAGCCAGGGTCAGGAGAAGCTATGCTGCTTTACAGCGATCCCCTAACTCTGAGTGTGGGTTCCCCAGTTCAGTTTTGGGGTCCTGGGTTTTCCAGCAAGCAACTGGTGGGGGTCAGTGAAGAGCAGGTGGCCACAGGACTCACCTGCCGGCTCCGCAGACACCTCCTTGGCTTTCCTCTGCAGGCTGGTGTGGCGGGCTTTGTCCACCCCCTCCAGCCCGCCGCTTGCCTTCTGCAGGTGGCCACAGCTGAGGTCAACAGTCCTGAGATCCAGGACAGCCTGGATCCCCTGCAGCAGCCCACAGCACAGCAGCAGCACGTTCAGCATGGTCCTGGGGGAGGTGACCTGTGCAGATGGGCCTGGCCAGCATCAGCCCACCTGCTGGCAGCCTGGCCTGTCCCCTCCACTGCCATCACCCCCTGCCACCCTGAGTGCAGTGTCAGCAAGGGGCAGCTTCTCCCAGCACAGCCACCACTCCCAGCTGTTTGTTCCCTTGGACCTGAGAGTCTTTTTTTGGGCCCACAAACACCTGGGAACAGGACCCCCCAAAGCTCTCTCCTGTGCTGCGGGGCATTCCACATGTGAGCACATTCATGATCTTCCCACAGAAAGGGGTGACCAGCAGAGAATGGACTGAGATCTGATCTTTTTTGTGGCAGTTCCGGTTTTTCCACCCCCCACACAGCAGCCATCAGACCATTGAGGTGCACAGTGTGTGGCGAAAACATGTGACTTGGCTCCTGCCCGGCTCTGAGCCTGAAAGTGCCGCTAGAATCTCAGTGCTGGGCAGGGAGAAGGGCCACAGCACACACAGCTCAGGAATAGGAGAAGCTGCAGGGTCAGGCTGTGGGCTTTGGGGCCCTGAAGGCTCTAACAAGTAGGTGACCCCTTAGGGAGCAAAAGGAAAGGAGCCAGGAGCTGGTATTCCAGTTGCTGCTGTCAGCCAAATCCTGGGACAAAGCCTGCTGCTTGGGCAGCCTTGAGGTTTCAAACCTGGCTCCAGCAGCCCAATGCTGGCCACTCCTTATCTCCCCATCCCACAAAACCACCCAGCTCTTTGCTGACCCCTCTGCACTGTGGGGAGCCCCACAGCCAAGGGCGTCACATCCCACACACTCCCAAGACCCTGCCCATGGTAAGCACTGACCTCTCCAAGCAGAGAGGGGGATTGCTGTCCGCTGCTCCGCTGAGCTCGCTGGAAGTGCCACTACCGCTCTCTGTCTCAGTGTCCTCCTCCCCACATGTTTACTGGGATTTATATTAGCTTTTTATTAATTAAGTGCTGCAGCCACATGACTTCACTAACTACCAGATAGGTGGGAGTCTCTGGAAAACGGGCTTTGTCTGGATAGAGAGGCAGCCAGTGGGGTGATGCATGGGAGGGGGAACTCCTGTTTTGTGCCTTGCACAGCTGCAGAAAGGAACAGATCCCTGTTAGCTCCAAACTCCCAGGTTTTTTGGAAGTGATCCCCACTGTCCTTGCAGGCCGATTCCCTTTCCAGCCCACTTCCCTTTCCAGCACCAAAGCTACAGCCTGAGGACATCTCCTAGTTCCCAAATACAGAAATAACAGGGCTACAGACATCCCACCAAAACCATGCCAAATTTGACTAGTTTTCAAAGGGAATGTTGCCTATCTGTATCTCCTGGTAAGCATCCACTCCCTGTGCAGAGCCTCCAGAAGTCCTCCAGCTCCTGACCACATACCATCTGCAGATTCTCCAGGCTTCCACCTGTGCTAACTGCATCTTACTCATGTCTCATTTGGAAAACCTGCATGCCCCAGAGCCAGGCTCCTTTGGGGAACACTTGCGGCCTTGAGTGGCTTCAGCCCTGCAAGGAATCGGGGGAATAAGAGATAACAGGGAGAGTTCAGCATGCTCTGACACACCCAGGAGGGAAGCTGACAGCCCAGGCTCTGCCCTCACCAGACTGTTCCTAGACCAGGAGGAGCCCCGAGGCCTGCAGGTCCCCAGCAGAGCTTGAGCCACTGCTCCTGGCTGGAGCAGCACCTCTGGGGCTCTTTGCAGGCTTCCTCTGCTCCTACGTCCCTTGTCCCAGCATGATCTGATTCCTGCTGCATTTGAGGGACAGGCTGAGCAGGCACAGGACCAGTGAGGAGCTCATGGGTTATTTTCTGCAGCTGCAAGTGGCTGCTGGAAACATTCATCGCCCATCTAGGTCCCCCAATGCACAACACCCAGTCAGGACCCCCTGCCACAGCACCTGGATGCCTCCTGCACCCCACATGCCTGGACAGACTCATCTTGAGTGAGAGACAAGTTTGGCAGCCCTTTCCATTCCCAAGGCTCAGGTGGGTGCCGAGTGTCCCATCCAGCCCCAGCTTCTCCATTCCTCCGCCCTGGGGACACCAGCCCCCGCACGGAGCCCTCAGCACAGCTCATTAGGGCCTGTTTGCAGCCGCGGGCCAGGACTTCTGGGAAGGCATTAGCTGGAACGAGGGCGGCCGCGCTGAGAGCTTTTTAATCTGCAGGAGCAACATCTGCTTTGTGCGCATCCCGATGGCCAGTAACGAGCTAAATGAGGCGGCCGGCCGCTCGCCGGGCCGCTTCCAGGAAAAGACGGCTTAAAGCGAGGGGGAAAGGGGGGCCAGGGCTGCGCTCCCGGCTCAATGGTTCAGGCTCCAGAGAGGGCGGGAGCGGGTGATGGAGTGGGTTCAGTGGTATAGCAGAGATGCCCGTGAGCGGGCATCCCGGGCAGGAGCCTTCAACGCTGGGACCCTCCGGAGACAAGCCCAGGCTGGGGGCTCTCCCTCTCCTCCTGGAAGCACCCAGGCAGGCGAGCGGCTCATTTAGTTCATCAGCAGCCCACGTTACCGCTAAGGCCAACCGAGTCCCCGCTACCCCAAACAGGCAGTAACGAGCCGGGCCGCGGGAGCTGCCGGGGCAGCCTCTCAGGAGGTGCGATGAGCATCTCTCCGGCCTCAGCCCCACCGGGCCGGGCCCTTTAAGGCGCGATCCCGGAGCTGCCCTGACGTCAGCGGGGCGGGCGCGCCCGGGCACCGCAGCCCCGGCGGTCGCAGCTCCGCGCCCCGGTGAGTGCGGCTCCGCCGGGGCGCACCGGGTGGCAGGGGCTGGGGTGGGTATCGGGGTGCCCGAGGCGCTGGAGGGGGAGCATGGGGGTGCCCAGGGTGCTGAGGTCTGGAGGTGAGGGCACGAGGATGGCACGGATGTTGGGGATTGGAGATGGGGATGCGGGAGGGACAGGGGTGCTGGAGACCTGAAGGTTGGCGTTATGGGGGTGGTCCGGAGTGCTGGGGACTGGAGATGGAGATGTGGGGGTGCCCAGAAGTGCTCGGTAGTGGAGGTGAGCATATTGGGGTAGCCAGGATGCCGGATACCTGGAGGTTGGTATGATTGGGGTGCCCAGGATGCTGGGGTCTGGGAGTATGGGGTGACAGGGGTACTGACAATTTGAAGGTAGGGGTATGGAGTACTTAGGCTGCTGGGAACCAGGAGAGAAGGGGTATGAGGCTGCTCAGGTGGTGATGAGGGACTGGAGGCAGGAGTATTGGGGTGCCCAGAGTGCTGCAGTTCTGGACACCTGGAGGAGAAGGTATCAGGATGTCTTGGGGTGTTGGGAAGTACAGGGATGTATTGGGATGTCCAGGATGCTGGGAACTGAAAGGGGGGTGTTGGAGTGCTCAAGATGCTGGGGACCTGGACATGGGGATTATGGGGTGCCCTAGGATACTGAAGAGATGGAAGATGGAAGTATTGAGATCTCCAAAGTATTAGGAACTAGAGATGGGGATACAGAGCGTGGTCTAGGTCCTGGGAGGTGGAGTATCAGGAGTGCCCAGGTTGCCAGGACCTGATGTCCTGGCAGTGCTGGTGTCAGTTTTTCCGGGGCACCTGGTATTCAGGAGCATCCCATCCCTCACCCCACATTGCTCAGCATCTCCTCCATCCCACAGTGCCTGATGCCTGTCCCCCACCTGACAACACTGCCATGGCCGGGGCACAGGGCTGTGGCGAGGGCAAGATCGCGGGGCTGTACGACCTGGAGCGCACGCTGGGCAAGGGCCACTTTGCAGTGGTGAAGCTGGCCCGGCACGTCTTCACGGGGCAGCGCGTGGCCGTCAAGGTGATCGACAAGAGCAAGCTGGCGGGGGAGGCGGCGGGGCAGCTCCTGCAGGAGGTGCGCTGCATGAAGCTGGTGCAGCACCCCAACGTGGTGCGCCTCTACGAGGTCATCGACACCCACGCCAAGCTCTACCTCATCCTGGAGCTGGGCGACGGTGGGGACATGTTTGACCACATCATGCGGCACGAGGGTGGCCTGGCCGAGCCACGGGCCAAGCACTACTTTGCCCAGATCGTCCACGCCATCTCCTATTGCCACAAGCTCCACGTGGTGCACCGTGACCTCAAGCCCGAGAACGTGGTCTTCTTCCAGGAGCAAGGGGTGGTCAAACTCACCGACTTTGGCTTCAGCAACCGCTTCCAGCCTGGCAAGATGCTCACCACCAGCTGTGGCTCCCTAGCCTACTCGGCACCAGAGATCCTGCTCGGGGACGAGTACGATGCCCCGGCTGTTGGTAAGGGCTGTGGGGTGCCCTGGGGACCTGCCTCCCTCCTGTCCCTTGCCTGGAGCATGGTCCTGCCAGCTGGGTACCACCTCCCATTTGGCCCCTTACACTAGGAGCACACAGCAGCACTGCTGTCCCTGCAAGGAGCAAGCCTGTCCCTTGGGTGTTTGGCTGCCCAGCCTTGCCCTGGCACAGCAGGGTCCTCCCTGTAGGGACCATCCCAGCATCCACAGAGATCACATAAAGTGATGGTTGCCAGAGAGGGAAAAAAGCCCAGGCAGGCTGTGAGCCTGGTGTGGCAGCCGCCAGGAGAAGCAGTGTGAGGATACAGCTGCCAGCAATCTGGCGCTGGTGGTTATTTGGCGGGGTGAGGCCGGAAGGAAATCTGCTCTGGATGCTGCTGTTTGGGTGGAGGAGCTCTGAAAGTTTCCTTTGCTCCATCCCCACCCTGAAAACCACTTCCTTCCCACTGCTCCCAGTGCTCTTCCTCCCCTGGCCAGGGTGCAGGGGTCTGGGGAGACTGTCCCAGGGCACAGGAAGCTGGGCTGGGGGCTCCAAGAGGCTCAGCTGTGACAGAGGGGATGTGGGAGGGAAGCAGGATCCAAGCTGGCTGGCTGGCTGGAATTAGGGCAGGAGGATTTAGCGAAGCAAAACACGAGCCCTTAAAGGCAAAAGCCCAGTGTTGGCTCAGAGAAAGGCAGATCCCAAGCTGAGAACAGGGATAGCTTATGGAGGCGGTAGAAAAATAAGCTGGTGGCGCTGCAAAGGGAAATGAAGGGAGAAAACCAACGCAGATGAGAAATTTTCAAACACTTGACTTAAGCAGCTGAAGGTATTAACAGAGCACCCCAGGGCATGCTCAGCATCCTAAACCCGAACATCTGCAGGAATTTGTGTTCTGGGTGGGAAGAGCCAGTGAAGATGCTTCTGGCTCTATCCCTGTCCCCAGGACAGGGCAGCAATCCTGTTCCAGCTGGTCCCCATGCAGCTGGAGAGCCCAGATTGGTGCAGTGTCCCTCTCTGATTGCTGTAGTGTGTCCTAAAGCACAGCCCAGTGCCAGGATGGTTGTGGTGGGGTTTGGGAATCAGGAAGGTGAGGAATGACATGAAACAGTGCCGTGGGTGGGTGTGTAATCGGGGGGAGTGGGGAGGGGGCCAGAGCTCAGGGCTGGCTTTCCTGTCCCTGCCTGGAGAAGGTGATAACACCTCAACTGCTTTGGTGAAGTCCCTTGAGACCAGGTTGGATGTGGGGACAGGAAGGTCCTTCCCTGCCTTGGTGGGAATATGGTCCCGCTGTCCATGGGACAAGACCTGGGAGCTGTTACCTCCAAGGAATATCCCAGTGAGCACTGGTCTCTGCTGGAGCAGTACTGGGGGCTGGTGGGGCAGCCCCTCCCAGGGTGTCTGGGGTGGAGAATCTCATGAGCCATGGTGAGGTGAGTGCAACCCAAACTGCAGCTGCTGCTTCTTGCAGACATCTGGAGCCTGGGAGTCATCCTCTACATGCTGGTGTGCGGCCACCCCCCCTTCCAGGAGGCCAACGACAGCGAGACCCTCACCATGATCATGGACTGCCGCTACACCATCCCCCCGCACATCTCGGCACAGTGCGCTGAGTGAGCACCACCCCCTACTGTACCCCCAGACCCCAACTGGCTGCCCCCTGGGTGCCCCAGCCCTGGCAGATGCCTGGGAGCTGAGGTGGGAAGAGAGGGCAAAGCTGCTTACTTTGGGGTTCACATAGTGCTGCAGGGTTGCAATGCCACTCCTTTCCCCCAGTCTCATCTCCAGGATGCTGCAGCGGGACCCGAAGCAACGAGCATCGCTGGAGCAGATCGAGGGCCACACGTGGCTGCAGGGGGTGGACCCGTCCCCTGCCAGCCGCTCCCTGCTGCCCCTCACCTCCCACAAGCGCGTGTCTGAGGAGGAGCACGAGATCATCCTCCAGGCCATGATGTGCGGGAACATTGCAGATCGGGACACCATCCAGGAGTGAGTGATGTGATGCAGGGATGGGAGCCCCAGTGAAGGGCTCTGGGGGTCCCTCTGAGCATGTCCCTTGTGTGCTGATGCAATTCCCTCGGTCCCACACAGGGCACTGGAAGCCGACCGTTACAACCACATCACAGCCACGTATTTCCTGCTGGCAGAGAGGATGCTGCGGGAGAAGCAGGAGAAGCAGGGCCACCGCCTCAGTCTCGTTTACAACCTGGCCAAGGAGGTACAGAGCAGGTGAGCACCCCTGCTGCCCCCTGTCCCGTGTACCCCTCCCCATCATCCTGGGTCCCCAGTGCAGGGTCTTGGCTGGCCCTCTGTCCTTTTCCTTGGCACAGCCCTGTGGTGCCCAACTGAGTAACGACACCTCTCTTCCCTTCCTCAGGCCTAGCTTGTCAGACACATTTGGCTCTGTGGGCAGCGCCGGCGGCCTCCTGCCCTTCACGGAGACAGGAGGCCTTGCTGGGGCATCCCGGCTGCCCCCTGGAGGGGACATTGGCGGCCGGCAGCCCACCGGGACCCTCCTGAAGGTCCCTGCCGTTGACACCACCATTACCAAGAGCACCCCGGCCCTGCAGCAGATCTGTGAGGAGGAAGAGGAGGACGAGGAAGAGGAGGAGAGGCCCAGTGCAATGGAGAGGAAGAGCAGCTCTCTGAACCAGGAGCAGATGCGAGCCTTCCTGCGCACCCACCGCCCGCCCGGCCGCGGGGAGGTCTGGGGGCCAGGGGTTGAGCTGGGGGGCCGGGGCGGGCGCTCGGGGGTGGCCTGGGCTGGGAAGGGAGTGAGTGGGGGCCGGGCTCCCCCAGTGCTGCGGGGAAATGGAGCTGAGCCCCCAAGGAGGGAGGAGGACATAGAGCCTGAGGTCTCCTCAGCAGAGTTCTCCAAGGAAAGGGGAGCCATCCTGTCACCCCAGAGCAGCTCGGCTGGAGTTTCCCAGGTATTGGGGGCACAGACAACTCCTGGCCCCCTCTCAACTTCTGCAGACACGTCCCCAAGGCAGGGGGAACAGACAGCCCAGCAGTCAGTGGAGAGCTCAGGCCCTGAAGGGGGCGCAGAAAGTGTGATCAAGCTGGACCCGGGCAAGAGCAAGGGGGGCGGCCTGCGGGACAGGCTCCTGCAGTTCCCACTCTGCGAGAAAGCCCTGGCCTTCAAACTCCGGCCAGGCTCCAAGGAGAGCCTCCTATCACTGGGGCAGTTCAACTGCTGCCATGTCATTTAAGGCCCCAGGACTGGCCCTGCCATGGGGTCTGGGGGGGTGCCCACTCCCCTGCCTTTGGTCTGTGGTGACTGTGGGGCTAGCGGGTGGCACAGTGCCCTGCTTTGTCACCCACGGTGGCCACCCTGCCAGCACCCACCCCTGGAACCCGCTGTGACAGACCATCCCCCAGACAGACCTGCCCAGGGTGAAGCAGACTGGGGTCCATCCCCTCACTCGTCAGTGTGTCCCCAAACGTCTGGGGCAGCTCCATGACTCTGCCGGAATGGGATGGACCATGACACTTTTTTAACTACTAGAAATAATTTTTTTAAATAGTCTATTTTAATGTAAGTAAATAGAGATTGCTATATCCCCCCAGACCCCACAGTGCCCCAGCCCCACAGTGTGCATGGCCCAGGACTGGGCTGTCCTGCCTGCAGCCCCCCTGCCAGTCCCGGCCGGGGCCAGGCACAGCCTGGCCCATGACCCCAGGCTGTCCCCTAGGCTCTCCCTGCAAATAAGCTTCCTATTTATTATCTCTTTGTTTTCTTGCTGGCAAGAAATGAATGACGATGGAGGCGTGGGCCGGAGCTCGGCCTGAGCCATGGTGCATGCACGTGGAAGGATCGGAGCCGCTGGGAAGCAAAGTTTGTCAGGACAATAAAATAAACTTGTGGGTTGATGTGGGTGCAGTGTCGTTACAAAAACATCACTGTCCCCCCAGTCAGGGGCCCAGGGATGGCTTCCCTGGCACCAGGGGTGGCTTTAAGGGAGCATCTGCCTAAGGTGAGGTGGGCAGGGGCCCGGAATGGAGCTCAGGGCAGCCACAGATGGGAGTAAGGACCAAGATTATAAACACCCAAAGGTGAGAGAAGGCCTGGGCATGCCAGAAGGCAGGTGGAGGGTGCTTCACATCCCCATGAGAGTGAACCACACTCAGCCCCAGGGTACCCCCAGCAGCTTTCCCCACTCTCAGCTTGGAGCCACCCCTGAGCCCCCAATTTCAAACCCAGTCTGGACTTCCATCCTTCTAGCTCTGCTGTTCCCCCTCCTTTCTGGTGCACCCTCCTCCCCGATAGCTCCGTTGTCTGTAACAAGATCTGAGTACTGTGTGAGTGGAAGAACAGAGTGATACCATGGGGGTCTCAGGTGGGATGGAGCCAGCTCTGAACAGCTTGGGGAGCTAGTGATAGGAAAACAAGGAAGGGGTGCCCTGGGGACCCTGCAGCTTGCACAGGGCCCCAGCAGCAGGAGGGGATGATGCTCCTGCCCACAGGTTCCCTTTCTTTATCCTAAAGGATAAAGCCACCACCTGAACAGGGGCTTGAACCCTGGACCCTCAGATTAAAAGTCTGATGCTCTCCCAACTGAGCTATCCAGGCTCACATTTGGGCTCGGGGGACTCTATGACAGGCAGGGGGGACCCCGCTTTCCTGCGGCATTGCAGGGACAACGTGGGGACCCCACTTTGATATTTCCCACTCCCACGCCACCCCAACGAGGCTGCCAGCGCAGGCCAGGCTGAACACCCAGCTTCTGGGCATCTCCCTGGGCACTGATCAGGCACGGCGATGCGCCCTGGGAAGAAGCCGCTGCCGCAGGGATGCGCAGGCGGGGAGGGGAGCAGGATGCTGCGGGAGCGGCTGTAAAACCTCCGCCGCCCCCAGAGGGAGGCAGGACGGTCCTGCCGGGGCACAGGAGCAGCAGCGGTGGCTGTGGCCGCGCAGGGGTCCGAGCTCTGCTCTGCAGAATCCGAGTCCCAGAGGCGCTTTTGCAGGAGCCGCGTTAAGGAGGGAGGCGGCTGTGGGGAGCTGGGTTACAGACACAGAGCCCGCCGTGGGCACCTTAAGGTCACCCCACACATTCTCTTGCCCTTCCTCCCCACTCTTCAGGAAAGGACCCTCTTCCCCACGGGGAACCCACCCTGCCAGTCCAGCCTTGCCCAGCTAGGAAGGGAGATTAAAGCCGACCCCAATTGCAGACGGGTGGGGGAGCCCCAGGGACAGCCTGCAGAGAGCCCCGCGGGGCCTCTTCGAACACCTCATGCGCACTAATTGGCTTCATTAGAGCAGCCAGTGATGGCATCAGCCCCTCTTCTGCTGGGGCTAGGGACAGCACTAATGAGCCGGGAAAACGGCGGGCTCTGGCCAGCCCTGGAGGGGAGATGAGAGCCCGTACGCTCGGTGGGAGCGTGTGTGGTGTCGACTGAACAAGAGCACAAACTTAATGATCCTGATTAATTTGAGCCCGCTGCTTTTAACCCATGTCTGGAGCTGTGGCCGCATCGGTGCGCAGCCCCACGGAAACCACGGAGGCACCGCAGCCCCCAGAGGTGCACCGGCCCCGGCGTGGACACACCCGCAGAAAGACATGTGGTGGCCCCTGAATCCCACAGAGAGGCACCATAAGCACCTCAGAGCCTTCAGGGAGGTGCTCGGAGGCTAGACCCAACAGAGAGGGACCGTAAGTCCCCCGCCCGAGCCCCGCGAGCAGGAAGCTTTCGGGCACGTATCCACCGCTGGTCCGTCCGATCCTTTCTGTCCCTTTTCAGCCTCCGTTAGCTCGGTACATGGGGGGCGGAGCCCCCACCCACCCGGAAGGGCCCGACCAGGACCACGTGGGGCAGGACCACGTGTTGGCAGCGTCATGGCGTCGGCGCCCAAGAGGTTCAAGGTACTGGGAAGCCGGGGGCTGCCGGGGAACTGGGGACACACCGGTTCTTGGAACGGTGGCGCTGAAGGGAGCCGCGATCGGCCTCACGGCTCCTTCCCCTTCACCCCATGTTTCCATCCACAGGCGGCGGTCGAGAGCGGCGCCCAGGGGAAGAGTAGTGCCGACCCCCTCTCCGGGTTCCTGGCATGGTGCGGGCGGGCCGGGGTAGAGCTGAACCCCAAGGTGAGGCACAGCGGGCCGGCCCGGGCATGTCCTAGGTCCACCCTGGTCTCTTCGCTCCGCCCCTTACAGCTCCTTCTGGCCCCAGGTCCGCCTGAGCAAGGAGGGCGCAGTGGCGGGGTATGGGATGTTGGCCGCCGAGGAGCTGGAGGCGGGAGAGGTGCTGTTCACCATCCCTCGCACAGTGCTACTGTCCCAGCACACCACCTCCATCCACGCACTCTTGCAAGAAGGTGAGTGTAAGCTTCTTGTGTCACTCGCTTCTGCTGTGCCTTTTAAAGGAATAAATGGGTCTGTGATAAAGCCTCAGTTCCTGATTTGCACAGGATGCTGTAGGGCTGTTTTGACAGCAGGTAGGATAGGGGAGGGCTGGGCAGCCCCTCGCTTCCCTAACAGCTGTGCTGGACAGGGAGAAAAGTCCGTCAGTGCAACATCTCCAACTTCTAAGTGACAGGCTCCTGTACTATGCTGCTTTCCTTGAAGTGTTAATAAGAACAGTTCCTTAGTTTCTGAAGGCATGCAGAGCTTCAGGCTGAGGTGGGCAAGGCCGTGGGTCCTGGGAGAGCTCATCTCTAACTCCAGAGAAGCAGTTTCTGGTCCTGGTTCAGCTCAGGACAAACCCAAGTCAAACCAGACTAAAAGCTCAATAATCCCTGGCTCCAGGCCAAAGACAGACACAGGGGCTTGTCATATCTGAAATGTGTAACAACTTAGGTTTTCTCCATCCTGTCTGGTTCTGTAGCCCAGGAGTCCCTGCAGAGCCAGTCTGGTTGGGTCCCTCTCCTGCTGGCCTTGCTACACGAGTACACAGCCAGCAACTCGCACTGGCAGCCATATTTCTCCCTCTGGCAGGACTTCCGGAGCCTGGACCACCCCATGTTCTGGTAAGGTGAAAGCAAGGGGGCTTGGGGAGGCTCAGTCTTACAGCTGAAGGCAGGCACAGGCCAGGGGCTGCTGAGTATTGTCCTGGGAAGGGATGTGGTCCTGCTGGGTGACCCCAACGCTCTGTTCTAGCCCTGTGCTGGCACTGGCAGGAGCCCGAGGGGCTCCTGGATTTGCATTGCAGGGAGAGCTGGAGAACAAGGACCTGGAGAGCATAGGGAAGCTAAGATTTTTAAGGAGGAAGACCCTTGTCCCTAGCACAGATGGAGAAGAACCTGTTTTTCTTACAACAGGCCTCAGGAAGAGCGAACAAGGCTCCTGCAGGGCACAGGCATTCCTGAAGCTGTGGACAAGGATCTAGCTAACATCTACCAGGAGTACAACTCCATCATCCTGCCTTTTATGGAGACCCACCCTGACATCTTTGATCCCAAACTGCACACTCTGGAGTTGTATAAGGAGCTGGTGGCATTTGTCATGGCTTACAGGTGAGAAGTGAGGGCTTTACTCCAGCAAGGAGCACAGACAAGTAAGTAGGAGTACAGGCTATGTCAGACATTGCTGTTGCACAAATCTAAGGGTAAGATGAAGTTTGCCCTGTGCAGCTCTGTGTACCACTGGCTTATCTTAGCTTTCAGGAACCTTTGGAGGAGGAAGAAGAAGATGAGAAGGGGCCAAATCCTCCCATGATGGTGCCTGTAGCAGATATTTTGAATCACGTGGCCAACCACAATGCCAACCTGGAATACTCTCCTGTGAGTGCAAAGCTACTGCACCAGGCATTGTCACAGCTTGGTTCTGTTTTAGTAAGACCTTTGGGAATGGGGGGCACAGCAAGGTGGGGTCTCAGCCCATGGGAGCAAGTCTGGCCTGGATCTCATTAATACAAAGCCCTGATGCATGTTTGGTATTCATTAGAAGAAGCTCGGGGTCATCTGAACTCTTTGAAAGCCCCTGTTGAGCAGTCGGCTCAGCACAGCTCAGATGCTTTCCTATCCCTGCTTGCAGCAGTGTTTGAGGATGGTTACAACACAGCCTGTGGGGAAAGGACAGGAGATCTTCAACACCTACGGGCAGATGGCCAACTGGCAGCTGCTGCACATGTATGGCTTTGCAGAGCCCTACCCTGGCAACACCCACGACACTGCTGACATCCAGATGGTGACACTGCGCAGGGCAGCTCTGCAGCGTGAGTGGCACCCCAGACCCTCTGGGAAAGGATGGGGTAGGGATCTCTATTAAACAGGGATGATGTGAAAAATAAGACTGTTCCACAGCATTTCAGGGGGTGGGGCCATGCCTTGTTTCTTTTGCCTCCTGTTTCCCCTTCTTCATTCACCCTCCCTCTCCTCCACTGCCATCCCAGCTGTGTTCACAGCTCTGTTGTCTTCAAAACAGGTGCCAAAAGTGAAGCGCAGAAGCAGCTGGTCTCAGAGCAGTGGGACTTCTTGTGCCAGCTGGAGATGGTAGGGGAGGAAGGTGCCTTTGTGCTTGGCTGGGATGAGGTGCTGACAGAAGAAGAGCTGTCCATGACCCTCAAGGTAAGAATGGCCAGGTAGCGGAAGAGCTGCAAAAGGAGCACAGAGTGCAGCTGGGCAAAGCAGCAGTGCAGAATGGCTCAGTGAAGGGGACAAGCACCTGAAGGCAGTTTGGCACTAACAGTCCTGTGTGAACAGTGGTAGAGGGTGTGGCTGCCAAGCTCCCAGGTGATGTTAAGTCATCTTCCTCTCCTGAAGTTGCCAGCCATGTATACTCACATATTTGTCTTGAATGGCTCCATGGCCACTGCTGTTCTAGAAAGCTGTCACAACTTTGTAGGTGACAGCTGAGATGTTTTAGAAGACTTAACAATACCCAGATTTGTTGTTTTAATGTTCTTCTAACCCACAATTACTTGCACTTGGGTATCTAAGCCAGTTTTAGTCTTTTAGTGCAGCTGAGAAATAACTCACCTGCTCCACATGGCTCTTCTGTTCCACAGAGGAGAAAGCCTGATGTACTCACACTGCCAGTGACTTACCCCTTTGCCTGGGTCACTACAGGTGCTCTGCATGTCAGAGGAAGAATTCAAGGAGTATAAGGAGCAAGATGGCTGGGAAGACGACAGTGAGGAAGAGGAGAACTCTACCCTTTCAAATGAGGCCCTCTCCAGACTTAAAACCCCTTGCAAGAAGCTCCTTTATGACAGTGTGCTGTTGACCCTGGAGTCCTATGGGGCAGACCTGAAAGCAGAGCAGGACTTGCTAAATAACAAGGAGGCTTATGAGAAACTGAGTCGAAGGGAGCAGCAAGCGCTGCATGTGCGCTATGGACAGAAAAGGATCTTGCATCAGCTGCTAGAGCTGGTACAATAGAAACCTCAGTGTCCCTGGACAGGACTTGGCTGGGGCTGATCCTGAGGGAAAGGTCAGCCTCTGGCCATCTCTTTTGTAGCAGAGAGAATAGATGGCAAGCCTGACTAGGAGTCCATTTGTCCCTCGTACAGCAGACAGATTTTTAGCTACCTCTACATAAAGAAGTATATTCACAGCACAAAGGTGGTTTTGAGTGGCCTTATTGTACCATGAGAGCTCTGGAGCACAAATACCACCTTTTTCCAGAGGCCTTAAGAAACCCAGCCATCCTAATGGCTGTTTGAGGAAGGCAGACATACACTGCCAGAACACCAGAGGATTCCCTCATTCAGCATCAGAAATTTAAGGCAAGAGCTGCTCCTTGTCTGGAGGGCAGAAATGCAACTGGTAGCTCTTATGTTGGAGAGATTCAGAGTATCTGCCAGGAAGACCTGCTGACAACACTAAACTCTTCATCTGTACATATTTTATGTTGAACATTTTCTAGAGTACAAGCCCATCTAGCTGGTCTTCATGTAGGCTCAGTATAACAAATATTTCCTTTTACTTCCACAAGATATTTCTGCGTGGGCTTGAGACTACTCTGGAGGAGCACTGTCACAGTTCCACAGCTGCTGCAGGCTGAGAATTTCATACACACCCTCTCCTTGATGCAGTTCTAGCCTGAACTCACTTTGGTTTTGCATGACAAAAGACAGATGGTTGACAGGCCAAGCTCTATTAAATAAAAACGAGTTTTCTTACCTAGCCCATGCTTTCTACTTCAACAGGGTGTGAAGTCCCATCTAAGAGTAAGGGGATTGTTGCAGTTAAAGAGTATTGCGGACAACCAGAACCCACAGTGTACTGGTGACAAAGCTCAGCTACAGCCCTGCCTGTAGTGTAGGGACAGGGTGGTTTAACAGTACTGAGGCGAGCTTGTTCTGGTTTCCCAGATGGGACAATAGTGAATTTGACCAGGATCTCACACAGCTGCCTCTAACCTTCATAGAGATGTTGTTAAAATTGGTATTTTTGTATCCCATGTCTCTCCAAAGAAATCATATTGGAAAACGTACATGTCAGAGTATTACATTTGGTATCTTGGTTAAAGTTTGGGGTTTGGGTTAAAACTTGTTTTTTTAGATATGCACAAACTTGGTGATGACCAAAGCCTATACAAGGTTTGAACACTGTGTAACAAGACTTTGTTATGCCTACTGTTTGTAATGTTTGCCTGCATAAACATTGAAAGTTGCACCTCATTGGAGAAGGGCATTTTGAGAACTTCACTTCTAGACTGTATTTTTGGACCATGAGGAAAGCTTGGGTGGGGGGGGTTCGCTTACTAAGAAGATGATTATGTGGTGGCTTCTGTATCTATTAGAGAATTGGGGAAAACAGCATCAGAATGGATCCTGCAATTAATGTTACTTTGTTGCCAGGAAGGAAAATGGGGAAAAGTACCACATGTTGATCTGTTCTTTGCATTGCAGAATAATGATAAGGCTTTGAAGGAATGGGATTGATGACAGCAGACTCATGTTTTAGCACCAGAGAAATAAAAAGAAAGTGTAATTAAGAGAATGAGGTAGACAAGGGAAAGGAAAGGGGGAAATAAATCAGAATAGGGATGGTAAATTTGGTTGATTGCTGTGACAGTTGAAGGGTAGGTGGTAATGTAAGGGAATCAGATTTCAACTGGTAAATTCTCATCTAGTAGGAAAAATTCAATATACTTACTGTAAGCAGAAGGGGCACTGGAAACAAATGCCCACAGAACCCAGGGCATAGGTAATCCTCAAAGACTGGAGATTCCACAAGTAGAAAGACTGCTTACACTCAATTAGGATTTAGATTGAGAGGCAGCTGAGAGCTCCAAAGAATCCCCAACAGAACTCCTGGTCACAGTAAATTTGGGGAATGAAAAGGTTGAATATCTAATAGAGGTGCAACTTAGATGTAAAGGAGTCTTCAGTAAACAAAGCACATGTAAAGCTGGAACCATAGGGAAAAAGGAAATAAGGCCATTATTCCAGCCACTCAAATTTGGAATTGTACAGAGTTTTATAAAATTTCTGTACATATCCAAATGCCCAATCCTATTATTAGGAAGAGAATGAAGTAAATTGAATGCAAAAAAAAAACAACTTTGAGAAAGGACAGATCCAAGAACATAAACCAGAAAAAAAAGCCCTGAGGGCACAAGTCTTTATGTTACATGATGCAAAAGAGCTTGTTTACCAGAGAGGAAGAGATGCCCAAAAAAACAGAAAATGGATGACTCCTCTCATGTAGGTGACTGGCACTCCTGCAAGATCACAAGAAGCAAAACTGGTAACAACCCAATTAAAACCAGGCTTACAGATGAGTAAGATGAAAACAATACCCTGTTAAATTGGAAGCTAGAAAAGGACTAGAGCCGAACACTGAAAGATTTACTAGCTTTGAGTTATTTCAGGAATGCCAGTGAGCTTAATACCCCAATTCTCCCAGTTAAGAAATCACACTCAGATGAGTATCAGCTAGTTCAAGATTTAAGAGCCATAAAGCTTGCACACAAGATGTGCATTAACCACATAAAAAGACACTGATCAATGGTTTAGGGCATTAGACTTGAAAGATATTCCCTTAAAAGATATCCTTTTGTATCCCACTGGATGCCAGAAGTCAAGAGCTGTTTGCATTTGAAGGGGAGACTCCTCAAACAGGGCTGTTAGTTAGGCTGGACTGTTTTCCCTCAGGGATTTAAGAACAGCCATACAATTTCTGGAAAACAATGTAAAACTGAGTGTTCTTGGGACTGGAATGGAAGGCATAGTAAAACATATAGTGAAGAAGAATTGAGAACTGTGTCCAAAGTTCCAACTTCAAAAGGCTCAGTTTCAGCACAGCTGCTGACCTGGCAAAGAAATGCCATGGAATTGTAGGACCTAGCAACATTCTGCTCCTTGACACAGAGGTGACTAATGCCTGGAAGAGGAAGAGAGAGAATTCCCTCCGAGCTGCCACCCACTGGCACAGCTGGCTCAGCGATCCCTCAGAGCTGTTTTTTCCTCTATGCAGTGAATGCAAAGCCAGGTATGGAACCTCTTAAACCTGAGTAGGAAATCCTGACCTCCCTGTGCACACCAAAGCAAGTCAACTAAAGCAGTCAACTTTAACAAGCTGATATTAAAATGAAAGAAGTGAAGCTCTATTTCCTAGCATCTGCTAGGTTAAAGGACCTTGCAATATTATTAACAACACTGAAGCTGCCTACCCTTACAACAGCGAACCACAACCTTGGGTAGATTCCTGCTGCAGGGAGATGACAGCAGGGTGGAAAAGCACTAGAAATGAAACTGATGGGCTGTCCACACTCTGTATACCTCCACTGCAGTCTCCTGTCTGAGAGGACAACTCTGCTCATGAACTTGCACCTAAGCCATTTCTGTTTCCATACAACTGTCCTTTCTGATGCATTTCAAAGCAAGATCCTGTCTAGTCATTACATCTGCCCACTGACCTTGTGCTAGAGAGCAAACCCAGCTGCTTTCAACAGGCAGTGCCCAAAACACACTGGAAAACTGCAGGCTTTGAGTGGGTGGAACAGGCTTTGGAAGACATCAACTGGCCAGGATAAATTGGAGAGAATAAGCACAGTGGCACGTGCTGCATGTCATGACTTTAATGTGTAACTACAGTATGCATACATACAAGAGTGGGAGAACTAAAGCCCAAGAACTAGAAAGGCTACAAAATACAACACGTGGACCAATACTTTACAAAACATTGAAAATCCTTACAAAATGGGCTGTATTGGTCCTTTCGGTTTTTTGTTTTAATTTTTTCTTTTTTTTCCTTTTTTTAGTTTTTTTTTTTACAAACTTATACTGTGTGGTCACAGGGGAGGGTGGAAAAAGTTCTAGATTTAACCCCTCATCTTCCAAAATTTACAACTGTCCAAAAAAAAAAAAAAGAAGAAAAAACAATAAGAAGGAGGAAAAAAAAAAAAAGAAGCCATAGGCCTGGTCTCTGGTTTATTTACTGGAAACAGCTGACCCTAACCCAAAAGGGCCTGTTTCTTCTTCAACAAAAAGGAGGCATTCTCTGACTGCCACTCCACTTGCTGTCTATCAGCATTCCATGAGGGTGAGGGAAAAGCAACACTGGACCTTAACCCCTCCCTCACCCCTCCTGTACTCCACAGAATTCCCATATTCCAAACATATCCACTTTTTTTTTTAAAAAACAACTTAGTGATTTAAAGGTCCCCCATTCACATAAAGAAAAATAAGTTACTGGCTTTTCAATATTCTTTGGGAGTCTGGGAATGTCAGGACAAGGAGGTCTGCCCTAGACAAGTGCTTGGCATCAGTAGCTGCCCCTTTATTACAAGATGGACAGGCACCAGTTACCCACCTGCCTTTTACACAATTTGCACAAACCCAAAAGTCCAGACAAATGTTTCTGTTCCTTGTATTTACACTAGTTCAAATGATATTCACAGCATCTTCTGAAGTTTGGCCAAAAGTCAAAAAATTTGTTTCAAACTTTGGAACATGCCCACATAAGACTTTCACCCAGGGTCTGTTGTGTCTACCCAATCAAGGGGGCTGGAAAGGTCAGGAGGAGCCTTACAGAGTCTTCAGTCAGTTGATGAGACGGGACCTCCAGGCTGGCACTCTTACAATGCAGGATGCAGCTCATCTAACTGGCACCAGTCCCTTCCATAACTTGCTGGGCCTGCTTCTGCCCCATGCAGCACTGTGCAACTGACTGGAACAACCTGTACATAGAAGCAAAGCAATGGTAGGTGCATTTATGACAGCAAATGGATATGACAGCACCAAAAACCCAAGGTTCAACTGCTTCAGAGATATCATTTTAATGATTCTGTGGTTAAGTTATACTCACTTCTCAATTTCTGGAGCGCAGTGAACAAACTCATGGTTCCAGAACTTAAAGGCTGGATTTTTTATCAGCTCAATAAACGTAATAAGGAGACCCCAGGGATGAGGCCTATTTACAATCAGTCGTTCCAAGAGAACCCTGAAATCCAAAAGTAAGAACACTTAGAGCTCAAAGACAAAAAATATAGAAGGAAAGCAAAAAGCTGCATGTTGGCAAGCTAAACACCGTCCCTCTCACCTGGTGATCTGCTCCTGGATGGCCTCTGTGTTGGCCTCTGCAAACAGGTACAGCATGGTGCAGCTGAA